CTCGACCACGCAGTTGACGTTGTCCCGACCGGCCGGCCCGTTTCCCTCCTTGAAGACCAACTTAGAAGATTTTTTGCCGTTGGTACTCATGGCGAGCGTATTCGACAAGAGCCGCGGCACTGCCCCCCAGAAATCAGCCGGACGGCCGTGTGAAACTGCACCGAATGCTGCGGTGCTCCAGTCTGTTGGGAACAGCCGATGCTTGCGTGCAGTTCATCAAAGCACAGGTTGCATTATGGATTTCGCCCGAGAGCTTGTGCCCAAAGTTACCGTGTCTGCCCAGCCCCGCACCACTCGGGTTGTCATGAGTGAAGTGACAGATTGTTGTGTTGACGAACATGCGCCCTCTGTGTTTATACAAGGTGAAGCCTTACACCTTACCACAACACATTTGCCCTTGACCCAGAGCACGGGTCACTGAACGGACTAGTCAGCTAGTCAACTACTTGATACATCCTTCATGTTGGGTTCTTCAAGAACATGCACCCACGTCGGCACCCTAGCGCTTGGTGTTTGTTCTTGAAGTCACCCATTAACAGATGTCTCCAACTCGAGTGCTTCGTGTCCTCACTTAAAAAAAAAATCATGCTTCTAACTTCAGAAAGAACGTACATTTTCGGGGAAGCAACCTCGTTTAGCTGCTTGCATCAGTCTACGGGATGAGTTAATTGTGTTCTTGCTACTTCACTAGTTTGGGCGCGTTACCCAGCTTTCCATGAGCTTACCACGGTGTACGGCGAAGGCTTTGGAGGGCGGCTTTTTTACCCCAATGAGTCGCAACTTTGGGGAACTCTCTTCCCCAACCGCCCGCCATTCAGGGAACATTGCATTTAAAATATGTATCATTTTAATCGGCCTTGTTCTCCTGGTTGGTGCACCACTTTTTTGTGCAAGAGATTTCTTGATTTTTTTACTGGGTCACTGCTCTTTTTTACTGTGGTCTCCCATTGCTCTTTTTCTCATTTTGCCAAAGCGTAACTAATGTACTTGGCTAAAAATAAATTTTAAAAATCAGGTCATATCAAGTCTTCCTTTCCGACAGCTAGGAATGGTGTGGCCTGTCAATCACCTTGCTTATTACCCAAATAACTTGTTTTTCCTCGGTCGATGCGTATTTCGTTTGTTAAAGGTCACTCAAAATGATGAAAACAGCAAAGGGAACTAGCATCATGGAACGCAGGAAGCGACTAGTATGGTAATCCTGAGATAAAACATTCGACCAGCTGAGTGTGGCTCGGTCCGGAAATATTTACACATTTTAGGAAGTTAAATTAACATTCATGTGCACTTTCGACCTCCTGGGACGTGACTCCAACGTTGCCGAGGTTGATTCGTGTGCTGCGAGGATGAATGCAAGGTTCTGGCGATATACATGTACACTCTTGTTTCTGACAGTCAGTCAGAACTAACCGAATGCAATCACTCGAGGCCCGTAGAGGGCGTTCTTCCAGTCCACTTTTTGACGCCGATTGCGTGCAGGATAATTTTAACGCGATCAAGTCCACTGGTTGAGCTGAACTAACAGCTACTAAACATCTGAAATTTCCAGAGAGTTTTTTCCATTCAAACCCGCAGTAATGTTACCTTTTTCACTGCAAGCCGCACGATCAAACCCGACCTCATTTTGTAACAATACGATTGTTTTCTCAACAATACGATCACAAAAGAACAAGTTTAAAAGCACGAGTGTCATGCTCTGAAGCATTTTACGTATATTGAAGGGTTAACAACTATGGGATTAAGGGACCCGTCCAAGGACTCGTGGCGCGCGCGTATCGGCTGGCGCATGAAAAGCGCACGCCCAACTGCATTTTTACCTAAATGGTGCACAAACTCAAGGCGGAAAATGGCGCCCGATTGTCGTTTAGTTGATGGACAGAAGTCTGTCACAACTTTAAGGCCGAAGTCATGCACCAAGTTGAAGTTGCACCGATTGAAGAACAAGAACGACGAAAGAAGCTGAAGCGGTATTACGGCCTGCGCAACGATCTTTGGGCCAATGGAACGGTCTCATTTCTCCGGCGTGCTCGGATTTCCGGGTAGTAGGCGAACACTGCCGATTGACCAGAGCTGCGACACGAGCGTATGCCCAGTGAATTCCGTTGTGGTTCACTTTATTTGTGTGCTGCATTCCTACATGATCAACGCACGTAGGAGTTCGTGCGGACGTCCGTGCGCCTCCGTCGAAGTGGTTTTCGAATTCCTTTGTGGTTTGCTTTATTGGTCTGCTGAATTCCTACATGATCAACGCACGTAGGAGTTCGTGCGGACGTCCGTGCGCCTCCGTCGAAGTGGTTTTCGCGGACATTTCGTCACGGTCATGGCGTATAAATAGCGTCAGGTTTGAAGGATACATGTACAAGCACAATATCACAGGACAAACAGTGTATCTGCGAAATGGGAAATGTGGAATTGGAAGAGAGGAGCATTAGGTCCTAGGAAGGGACCAAAGTCGGGCAAGGGGCGGACTGACTTGTGACTATCTAGCTCAAGTCAATATCAAATAATGACAGCGGCATTTGTAAAAATGCCTGCTTTTCGCTGTGGCCATTCTGTCAAAGTAAGTTAGCATAGGGCCCTATACGCATTGCGTTTACAGGAAACCGTGCCGGTGCAGCTGTGATGCGTAGAATGCGTGGATCAAACAGCCTTCCATACGGTCTCCTGTGTATATTCGATCCCTCGTATTTACCCCTGGACCGCACTAAATGCGGAACCAGACCCCGAGCGTAGGTACGTGTGCGGCTGGAAAAAAAATAGCACACCGGATGAGAGGGCACCTTGCGGCAACGCGCTCATTTTATCTGGTGCGTTCTTCCGGAAATCCGAGCACGCTGGAAAAATGAGACCGTTACACCGGGCACCATTGCTTTGGTTCCGCGAGGCATTATTGTTCGTTTTTACTGCATGAACAAACCGCCATAAGGTCTGTTTATAGGAATATCAAGGAAAGTGAACATTATGTATATCAATTACAGGCTATGGGCACACACTACACTGTAAGATAATACTGTTATATGAGCAGTCAACATCAATCTACTGTGAACGAAGTTTACAGTAAACAAACGTGTTTGTTACACGTGTTTAATGTGCTTTGTGAATGCAGTACAGTACTGTATTTTTGACAGTAATGTTTTACGGTATAAGCTTTGACCTCAATTTGCATATTGACACGAATTGGGCGTTGCCACTTTTGCCAAGTAATTTTGTGGTTTTCCATTCTTTACGCAAGGATTTGACATTAGTCTGACAAACTGTTGGTGCTTTTTTGGATGTAGTTTTGCATGGAAATGCGAACCATTGCCTGAAAAGATAAATGGAACGTGAAAAATAAAAGAAAACTTACTTTTTCATGTTCCAAACATGATTGCACTTTGGAGCCAGACAATGCACATATAAACCACGTCAATGCACTATTAAAGGATGTAGGTAGAAAAAGTTCTGCCGCAATCATGGCGCGGAAAGTTAACTTTAATCTTTAGTTAACTAGACGTGCCAAAGTAACATTTA